ACGGTTTCCACGCTGCTAGAGGGCCACGGAGAAGCTTTACGGGTTCTCGGCCCCAAGCCCAAAGCCTGAATCCCTGCAAACAATATGTTTGGGTTGCGCAGGCGACTTGCGTGGTGTGATCTCGATAGTCTCATGCTCTAGTTAGGAGGATAATCTGAGCGGCATTAGTATGCGAAGAGTTGGCCTAAATAAAAGGATTGAACAATGGAAATACCTCAGCATGGGACCTGCTCTGTGACCCTTAAGAGAGTAGCAGCGAGGGCTTTTGCCCGCGGAGCATCATGCTGCTTACAATTGAGGTGAGTCTGCTCAGTGGCAGGACGGTCTCAGTGGAAGCAGGACTGGAAGAGACTGTAGAGACGTTGAAGCACAGAGCACAGCAGACTCTTGCCATTGGCAGGGGCAGGCTGTTGGACTCCTCTGGGCGCGTACTGAACGGAACTGCCACGCTGGAGGAATCGGGGTTGAAGAACGGCGACACACTGACCTGGCACACCAAGAGCACCCACATCTACAGCAACGCGGCTGCTTTTGCCGCAGTCCTCGGCGATGGCTCTGTGGTGACCTGGGGCGATGCTCGATACGGCGGCGACAGCCGTGCTTCGAGAAGGCAGCTAGAGGACGTGCGGCAGATTCAAGCAACCAACTGCGCTTTTGCCGCCATTCTGGGCGATGGCTCTGTTGCTAGGATGCCCACTAGTACCCTTATTCCCTTTTTGGTAGGTTTAGGTTCCCTTATAAACCCCTTGAAGCAAAAAAGGGCACCCTTTTTCATCCTAGGTTACTGGGCAACCTAGGTTGTGACCTGGGGCCACGCGGGCTTTGGCGATGACAGGGGCGATGTGCAGGATCCTTAGGAACCAGAAGAACCCTAAAAAGGGTTTAGGGCTCATATACCTTAATTGGAATTATAGGAATTATAGTATTATAGGGTATCTAACCCCCCATTTTTTGGTTCATTTTGTCCCTAAGGATCAGCTGAGGGACGTCCGGCAGATCCAAGGTAACGCCTACGCTTTTGCTGCCATTCTGGGCGATGGGTCTGTTGTGACCTGGGGCGATGCTAGCTGTGGTGGTGATAGCAGTAGTGTGCAAGATCGGCTGCATGACGTGCATCAGCTTCAAGCTACAGACTACGCTTTTGCTGCCATTCTTGGCGATGGGTCCGTTGTGACCTGGGGCGAGACGCTCCTTGGTGGCGATTGCAGAGTTGTGCAGGGGAAGCTGAAAGGCGTGCAGCAAATCCAAGCTACTGCGCGGGCATTTGCGGCCATTCTGGGTGATGGGTCTGTCGTAACCTGGGGAGAAGCTGACCATGGCGGTGACAGCAGTACCGTGCAATGTCAGCTGAAGGACACGCAGCAGATCCAAGCATCAGCAGGTGCTTTTACTGCTATTCAGAGCGATGGGTCGGTGGTGACCTGGGGCTGTGCTCGCGCTGGTGGCGACAGCAGCGCTGTGCAAGGTCAGCTGAAGGACGTGCGCCAAGTCCAAGCATCTCACGACGCTTTTGCTGCCATTCTAGGTGATGGTTCTGTTGTGACCTGGGGCCGTGCTGACCATGGTGGTGACAGCAACGTTGTACAAGGCCTGCTGAAAGACGTGCAGCAACTCCAAGCTACACACTATGCCTTTGCCGCCCTTTTGAGTGATGGACGTGTAGTGACCTGGGGCCTTGCTACCTGCGGCGGCGACAGCAGTGCCGTGCAACGTCAGCTTCAGGACGTGCAGCAGATTCAAGCTTCAAGCGGTGCCTTTGCTGCCATTCTGGCCGATGGGTCTGTCGTGACCTGGGGCCATCCTCACTGCGGAGGCGACAGCCGCACTGTGCAAGCCGATCTGAAGGACGCGCAGACCTGTTCTGTTAACAGTGAAGATGTGCCTCGCACGCATGGCGCTGACCTGGGGAACGGAGTGCCTGCAACGGCGGCAGCAGCTGCCATGTGCAACATCAGCTAGCAGTCCGCAGACATGGCCCGAGTGTTCTGCACTTGTGTCAGTTGAAGTTGTTCTAGCTCAAACTATTCTTATGGGTGTTTACGAAAATAAGGTACCCCCCCCAATATAGTCAATATAGACCGCCAAATGGTAGGAATCCCTTATAATAAGGTACCCCTAATTTCGGAAACCCCCTCCTCGGACAATGAGGAGTATCACCAAACGCCCACACAAAGTTTGCCATAAACCCCTAAACCCTAAACCCTAAACCCTAACCCTAAACCCTAAACCCTAAACCCTTTAAAGCACGTCGGGGAGGAACTCCTTGGTGCTCAGAGTTCAGGACCCTTGGGGACGAAATCCTAAAGGGGTTTAGGGTTCATAATACCTTCATGGGAATTATTGTAGTAAGGGAAAACCCCCCCCCCCCCCCAATTTTAGGGTTCATGTGATCCGCAAGGACCTGCAACGACTTGAGTCTCTCTCTCTCTCTCGCGGGCAAGGTCCGGTCCCAACCTAGCGCTACAGGTGTGTGCAACGGCTTGAGTCCCTAAATTACTAGCGCTCTAAGACCTAAAACGCCCTCCAAACGCCCGAAAACCCGAGAGCCAAGCCCACCAGGTCGTGACCGACCGGAGCTCAACGGACGGTGGGATCCTGACTCCGGGGCTTTGCGGGCTGTGATGGGAAGTGCGAATCCGGGGGTTGATATGGAAGTTAGGGTTTAGGGGTTGAGGGTTTAGGGTTTAGGTTTAAAGGGGGGTTTACGATAAGGGTACCTTATTGGGGGTCCTTATTATAAGGTGATCCATAGTTGGGGCCCCTTCTTTCGTAAAACCCCCCATATCGAAGTTATGGGCACGTTTGGGGTTTGGGGTTTGCTTCGGAATGCATTTTCCACATTCTCTAGGGGGCCCAACTAGAATTCCTGTATTTCTTTACTGTCGAGCAGTTGGAAAGATTATGGCTCCCGCTTCAAACGCACCGCAGCTTTTGGGTTTCCAACCTCGCATATGGGGGGGGGGGGTCCAAAGTTAGGGGTACCTTATGAGGGTCCCAAGCAAAAGGGGAACCTACTAGTTGGGTTTCTTAGGGGCCCCTCATTTTCGTAAACCCCCCGTATGTCTTGCAGCCTCATGTGGTCCTTGGACCAAACATTGTGTCCCCAAAGAAACTTTTGAAAACCCTAAATAGGAGGTGCTATGTTTACGAAAGGGACGGGTGGGCGGGGGGGGGGGGTGGGGCACCGGTTGTAGATAGGTTTACTAATCACATGGTCGGCTTCTGGGCCTTTGGGGTGTGGAGATGGTTCCTCAGCTGGGGTTGAGGGCTTCCCCAACGCCCCAACCCCTCCCCTAACCCCCCGCCTCCCGTCCCCCAGCCATCCCCATCCCCCACCCATCCCAACCCCCCACCCATCCCCATCCCATCCCACCCCATCCCCCACCCATCCATCCCCCGCCCATCGTCCCCCCCACCCCCCAGCCCCCGCATCCCCCATCCCCATCCCCCCCCCCCCAAATCCCCCGCCAACCCCCACCAAACCCGGGAATTGTATCCAAAAGGTTTGTTGGTTGAAGCCTCAACCCCCAAAGAATCCAAACCCTTAAGTTCTAAACACCTAAACTCCTAAACTCTAAGCTCTATGCCCTAGGAACAGTAACCCTTGAACTTTGCATTGGTTTCAGAGCCAGGGTTCGTTGTGTTTTTTTCAAGGGTTTAGGGTTTAGGGGTTAGGGGTTTAGGGTTTAGGGTTTAGGGTCTAGGGTTTAAGGTTTTGGGTTGGGGGATTTGTCGGGTGCTTCCTTGGGTGCCGGCAAGTACGTAGTTATGGGATGGTTTCGGCAGGTATGTCCTTAGCTTGGAACTGTCTGCCCCGGGAAGACCTGTTGCTCAGCCGCAGCTACAGAGACAGCTATTGCAGAGCAAGGTTGAATGTTTAGGGGAGTTGGGGTTGTCGGGATTCACCAATAAGATGTACCTTAAGAACCCAAATCCCGTTCTTTTCAGGTTACCTAGGAACTCTATAAGGGTGTCTTTGAGGATTTCTGGGAAGGTAGGTTTGGGTTTCTTGAGGTACGCTTTGGGTTTGGGGGTGTTGGGGTTTTGGGTTCTAGTCTTAAGAGATCTTCAGTCGCAGAGCTTTGGGGCCTTCGGCCTGGGTCTTTCCGAGTTTAGGGTTTAGGTTTAGGGCTTGAGGAACACCCTAAACCCTAAACTTTAAACCCTAAACCGATAAAATCCCAAGCTTCGTTTCACTGTATAGCCTGCTAGGCCCATAGAGTCCCTACGAACCCCGGGAATAAAGTTTAGGGTTTAGGGTTTAGCCCTTGCAAGCCGTACCGAACCCGAAGACCCGAAACCTCGCAGTTTCTGTTTGCTTCACTTCGGGTTGATCGTAATTTAGAAGTTTGCGGGGGTGGGGTGGGGTGCCTTTGCGGTTAAGGGAGCTTATGCAACCCTCAATTCCGGAACTTTTCGTCTCGAAGCCCCTGATTAAATCCTCACCCCTCTCGGCCTAAGCGATGTGGACGGCAAAAAAGGGTGGCAGCCAGGATTCGGGTTTCGGGTTTTGGGTTTAGGGTTTAGGGTTCAGGGTTTAGGGTTTAGGGTTGGCTCATAGGCCTTACAGCACCTGAGGGTTTGGGGAATCGAGGGCTTTGGATGTTCAAGGTTCGAGAGCCGATTCCGCCAGCCCTCAAGCTTAAGGAGCTCGAAATGATATCCTGGGAACTTCTACAAAATTGCAAGGGTGGGGGAACCCTAAACCCTAAACCCTAAACCCTAAACCCTAAACCCTAAACCCTAAACCCTAAACCCTATAAGCCCGAAGATCGAGTGTCAAAGCCGTTCCACTCTAGCGCAGCCGGAGCAGCTGGCGCAGCTGGCAACCACCACGCCGAGAGGTCGTGACGGCGGGGTTTTGGGTTTTAGGGGAAAGTGGGTTTAGGACCGCAGGGTTTAGGGTTAGGGCTTAGGGCTTTGTGGGTTTAGGTGTTTCAATGGTGTCATGGTGTACGGGCGGCTTGTATTACGTTATGTTGTGCACTCAGGTCTATCAGATGCAGGAGTTGAAGGACAGAGGGACGTCCTGGCCTGTGAATCCTAAACCCTGAACCTTAAAACCCTAAACCCCAACCCTAAACCCTAAATTCTAAACCCTAAGCCGGAGGATCGTAGGACTAGGGTTTTTATCTAGGCTCAGAGATGTATAGGGTGCAGGGCTGTTTTTAGTACGATCTCACGAGCAGATCAGGTCACAGGGATGCTCGTCTCCGGATGAAGAGAGGCTTTAGGGTTTGATTCCTAAACCCTGAACCCTAAACCCTAACCCCTAAACCCTAAACCCTAAACCCTAAACCCTAAACCCTAAACCCTAAACCCTAAACCCTAAACCCTAACCCTAAACCCTAAACCCTAAACCGTGTCCACGTCATGTACCTGTATCGTGTGTCCTTGCGCCTTGCACGGGTTTCTATGTAGTATCCTTACGTCCCAAGTCTAAAGTATCTGGACGAATGGGCCCTGAGGGTTTGTCAGAGGGCGTCAGGTTTACGGACTCCAGGTCTCAAGGGTTAACGCAACCAACCCTCCTCAAGACCCTTATGTCAGGTTTCTTTGCGGCGGAAGACCATATTATGTAAGGTCGAGGTTGTATTGAGTCTAGGGGCAAGATCATCTCTCATTGTCCTGAAACCTAAATTACCCACCTCTCGTGGCAAACGCTACCCAGGTTTCATGGTGTGAAGTCAAAAAGGAAGGCAGAGGGACAAATAAGGAGGGAAGAGGAGAGAGATTGGGGGGGGGGGGGGGGGGGGAGAGGAAGAGGGAGGGGAAAGAGGGGAACCCTACTGTAAACCCTAAACCCTAAACCTTAAACCCGAAACCCTGAACCTTAAACCCTAAACCCTAAACCCTAAACCCTGAACCCTGAACCCTAAACCCTGAACCCTAAACCCTAAACCCTAACCCGAAACCCTAAACCCTAAACCCTAACTGCTCTGGCTGAATGAAGCCGCCCAGAAGTGCGAGGACTCCGACCTGGAGTTGGTAGAGGGCAACGGGCAGGACACACCTCAGCGAAATGGTCTGAGGGGTTTAGGGTTTAGGGTTTAGGGTTTAGGGTCTTGGGTTTAGGGTTTAGGGTCTAGGGTTTAGGGTTTAGGGTTGTTGGGCAGAGAGCGGTTCAGGGTTGAGTTTTTGGGGTTGCGTGGGCAAGCTTGCGCAACCGAGCCGTCTGCTTTTGGTGGACTTGGGGCTCACGAACCACACGAGTTCAGGCTTGTGGGGCTATTTTGGGCTTGAGGATACACAGCAGCGGCGCCTAGAGGTCTTGCCTCTTTCAGAGGGAAATCCGAGGAAGGAAGTTGTGGTTGTGAGTTGTCCTGCGGTTTGGGCATCGCGTACGGCTTGGGCATCATCATCATCGTCATCGTCATCATCATCATCATCATCATCATCATCATCATCATCATCTGCACTGAGCCGACCCTCAAGAACCTCCTTGAAGTCTTAACTTGGGGACACAAACCCCAAATCGCACCGAAACCCTAAACCCAAAACCCTAAACCCAAAACCCTGCACCCTAAACCCGAAACCCTACACCCCAAACCCTAAACCCTAAACCCCAAACCCCAAACCCTAAACCCAATTTCCAATCACCTTGTCAGAAGTACGTCGCCCACTACCGAGAGAAGGCGTCCGGGGATCTGGCACCTGGCTGGGTATCTTGGCACGGAGATGCAGCGGGGTTTGGGATTACTACGAATTGCTTAAGAACCATCCCAAAAAATCAAAAACGATTCTTCCTTATCAGGGCAATATAGGTTGTTTTTTTGTTTTTGGGGGTTCTTAAGCCAATAATAGTTTCGGGCGCGCTGAATACGGTGTTTAGGATTTAGGGCGCAGGAATGGCAAAGTTGTTACCCTGTTGTATCTGCCCTGCAAGAACCCTAAACCATGAAACCCCGAAACTTGAAACTCTCTTTGGGGGACTTTTGGGGCAGCTTTGGGCTGCCAGAGGGAGGTTTAGGGTTTAGGGTTTAGGGTTTAGGGTTTAGGGTTTAGGGGCATGGACCCCTTGAACCTCCCCGCACATCCCCCCCAGATGATCCAGGTTATCAGCAAGGGGCTGAAAGGCAAAAGCCTGCTCATCAACACCAAAGAGGCCTTGGGAATGTTTGGTCTATTGTGTAGGGTTTAGGGTTTAGGGTTTGGGGTTTGGAGTTTGGGGTTTGGGGTTGAGGGTTTAGGGAGGAGTTTCAGGATTTAGGGTTGGGGCGTTTGCGTTTTTGAGGCCTTTGCACTCGCAGGCTTTTCTTGAAGGCTTGCTTTGTTTTCCAACAGTTTCAGTACCCGACGTACCCCCCTCCCCACCCCCAGTTTTGGCCTTGGGGCGCAAGAGGGGAAAAGGGTTTTAGGCTTTACCCAAAGGCTCCAATGTATTTCCTGTTGGGGGTTAGTTATAGGGGATGCTAGTATCCTACCCCCAAAAAGGTACTACATAGGAGCCTTAGGGTTTAGGGTTTCGAGTTTGAGGGGGTTTGAGGGGGTTTAGGGTTTAGGGTTTAGGGTTTAGGGTTTAGGGTTTAGGGTTTAGGGTTTGAGGGTGTAGGGCTTCGGGCCTTTGCAACCTTATGCCCTTGCGTTCCAGGCTCGGTCCCCACCATGCCTTGGCTGGAAGGCAGGTACCCTTTTGTTGTTGAAGGGCCTTTGGGTTTGGGGTTTAGGGTTTAGGCTTTAGGGTTTAGGGTTTAGGGTATAGGGATGTTCAGGGTTTAGGGTTTAGGGCGGGTTTGGATTTTAGGCTCCCAAGTTCTTGGGCTCCTAAACCCCTAAACTTCATGCGCTGCACCCCCCAAACCCTAAATCCTACGGAAAAACAACCCTCCGTCATGCCCTAGCAGGGCTGTTTCTACATGCCACACTGAGGTTTCCCAAAGGATCCAAAGTATTGAAATGGGAAGAATGTGTCTCCCAAGTAGACCCTGTGCAAAAAGTCAGAATCCGAGTGTCCGTTCTGGCAAAAGTGCGATCTCTGGCAAAAGTGTCCATTCTGCCAATAGTCAGGACCCAAAAACACAACTGTTTCAAAAACATGTATCTGAAGGAATATACCTGTGTGTTGGAAGAAAAAAAGAAAAACACAAAAAGAACAAAAAGGGCGTCTCATGACCACCCAGCCCCCCAAAAAAGATTGCAGCAGGAGCACTTATAAGAGGGTTATTAATGGTTTGGGAGGGAAGCTCAGGCATATTCTTGTTTGGGGCACATTCTAGCTTTCGTACTCAGAGGTCGGTCTAGCAGAACCCTAGTATGAGTTTCTGGGATTTGTGGGATTCCAGGATACCCGACTTTCAGGAATGCAAGGGCTTCGTTTTCAGGTTGTTTGGGGAATTCTCAGGGCCTTGATGTCTGGGGCCTCCATAGAAAGTTCAAAGATGAGTCATGGTGTGCCAAGTTTTGGGATTTCAGGGTCTCGATGATTCCAGCCTCAGCGGCCGATATGCCTCAGAGCTCCCAGAAAAACCAACTCATCAACCCACAAGCCGAAACCAATTCCACTTAAACAAAAAGTCAAACCCTTGACAGAAACTCCAAAGCCCAGGAGCCATTCGGAACCAACTCCTCCGAACACCGAAGGCCTAAAGCAGGAAACCCTAAACCTACACCCTAAAAAATAAACCCCTTTCTGCAGCGTGCCATGCCGAGCCGTCTTGCGAATCCTGGCCTTTTCATGCCTCAAGCTCTGGGTTTAGGGCTTGAGTTTAGGGTCTATGTAGTATATGAGTGTATGTCTGCAGCCCCCAAAGCTCGTACACATGCCTTCAGCCAGTCCCCATTCGAGGATCCTTTGGACCCTTCTCCCCAAAGTCCCCCAGCCCCATCATCCATTCAGTTGTCATCAGTCGTGACGGTCGCCTGTAACCTTAGATGTTGCAGGGTTTAGGGCTCAAGGTTGAGACGGTTCCCCTTACACAGTCCAAAACGGGAAGCATAATATGGGGGCACTATATTCCCGACCCGAATAGAATATAAATAGACTGTTAGGTTTTAGGGGGAATTCACTTAGGGTTTAGGGGGCTGAGGATCAAATAAGAATTTGCCGAGCAGCCAAATGTAATACCGGCTCAAAGTCGATCGTTCCATCGTTCGCGGGTGGGCCTGTTGTGCGATGCCTGGGTTCAAAAGCGACTTTGAGCCACCAAAAACAAAAACGAACAAACAAAAACAACCCTTTTTTTGTTTTTTCCCAGCGACTAACCAGCCGGCCATTGAAGTCTTCACTGGCGAAAGTATGATAGAAACGATAATTGTATCGTTCAGATGCACTGAAGTGCACCAGTTCCTGGGCCCCCTTGGCTGAGCAGGCTTTAGGCCTGAAAGAAACAGCAGGAAACACTCAAAGAAAATGAAAAGATCTGACTTGCTAATCTGGGCACATGTAGTTTTGGCCTGAGATGGAAGAAAGGCATTCCCCTTTCCACACACTTTCCAGCCAGCAGAGCATATGCTCCCAGGGCATTGTCCTTTGCTGTAGGGTTCCAGGGTTTAGGGTTCTGGGTTCAGGGTTTTGCGGTTTAGGGCTCAGGGCTTCGGCTTTAGGGTTTAGGGTTCAGCTTTGCCAGCTGTGTGTCGGCACACTCCCTCATCCTCTTGATGGCCTCATCATCCATATACCTCCCGCTCTGCTCCATCGTGTTGAAGAGCTCGGAAAAGAAATGCCTTCGTGTCAGGAGCATCCATGCCTATTTAAACTTTTTGCTGCTTAGAAGAGCATGCTATAGATATCGGTCAAGTGTCATGCACTGCGCCAGCAAAACGAGCATCTCGTCGTTCTTGTTGTTGTTGGCCACTTGCACTGTGATGCTTGCTAGCCAGCTTGCAATCACCCGAGCCTCGAATAGGGCTGGTATAAGGTAAGAGGTCCTAGCAGCACTATGCTGGGTTGTGTTTCCAACCCTTAGAAAATGATTTATGAATAGGTTCCCAAATAAAGGTAAGCTAAAAATTATCCCTTAAAGCATAACCCAGCCCATGCATATATAGTGTCCTGATTCCAGATAAGAAACATTATAGGCCTTCGCTGCAAGTTGACCGTCCTTCAACATTTTCGGGTGGAACACGGGCTGGGAATGCCTTGCTTTGGTGTTTGGGGTTTGTGGAAACCCAAAGCCCCATACCCCGAAAGCCTAAACCCTAAAGCAAAACCCCAAAACCTGGAACCCTACCCGAAAGCTTCAAAACATTAAATGGCAATCCGAAGCATCCAAGGCACACGATTTTGTTGGAGCGGCACCATTGCTGGAACTGGTCGTAAGCGACTCGAAGAAGCTGGACATCGGATCCCTGGCCCCATATACCCTCAGTTGCTTGGGGCGTTAAGGTCTCGTGCATTTGGGTTTAGGGTTTAGGGTTTAGGGTTTAGGGTTTAGGTTTAGGGTTTAGGGTTTAAGGTTTAGGGTTTAGGGTTTAGAGTTTAGGGTTTAGGGTTTAGGGTTTAGCGATCGAGACAAGCATCTGTTGGCATCAACATTTCAAAAGCAGCTGCAGCAGACCACACCACAGGCCCCAAGTTAAGAGTATGGAGGGCACACCATCGGATCATGTTCGGGTGGAAGTCTTTGAGTTTGGTGAGGCAGCCTGAGTTCAAACATCGGGGTCTAGGGTTTAGGGTTTGGGGTTTAGGGTTCAGGGTTGAGGGTTTAGGGTTTAGGGTTTAGGGAATCGTAAACAAAATTCGCTTTGGCTCCCAAGTATCTGGGGCTGCCGGGTCGCATGCACTCGGCTACGAAGTTAACCAAATCTCGCCTGCTTTGGGCATCCAGGACCGATGATGGGAGAGTAACCACTGGCTCAGTATGCGAAATACGGCAATGGTGACAAAGGAATCTGTTGGCCCAGCCGGTGGTGAGCCCAAACCACTCCTTGCACTTCATATTTTCATGAAGCCTAGACCTGGAAATTAGGAGCTTCGGCATTGTGGGGCCTTGAAGAATTTCCAATCGCCTCTGACTTCGGTGCAGGCGTACTTGTGCATGAGCGGGGTGTCGGTGAGGACCAGGTCTTGCAACTCACCGTCCACTAGCAGGGGCTCCGGGTGAAAGCCAGCGAAGCAGGCGTTCAGTGACTCCACAATCTTAGTTTGGGAATGGACAGGCAACTATATTCATCAAGCTCAGAAGCACAAAGAGCAGCAGGAAAAGGTAAAGCATTTCTCCAGCCCAAGCACCGGTCGGGTCACAGCCTGCAAGGTCTCGAACCCTGTGCTGGTTGCCTTACACTGTCCAGTCTAGGAAGTGTAGCTGAATTTAGCAATTCTAGACAAGGCAACCAAGTCTGGCTCCTGCGAGCTAAGTGGCTTCCTTGAACAAGCAAAGAGGGAAGTGGGTCAGGGTGCTGGACTTTCGGCCGTCGAGCACAAGCCCGAGTGCGATGATCACGACTTTGTGTTGCTGGCTGAAGCGAGCATCATCTCCATATAGAAAACATGGTTTGTGAAGGGCCGAGGCACTGTGGCCGGGCCCCCATGTGGCATGGGTTCGCATATGATCCCAGTAAGCCTTTGTCGAAGACGGTTGCAGGTCGTCCGTGGCGAGGTGGCCATGCAAAGCTAGATGTTCCAGCAAATCGTGTGGCAAAATCAGTGGCAAGTCCCTGGAGAGGTAAGAATCGAGGACAGAAAAAAGGTTTAGGGTTTAGGGTTTAGGGTTTAGGGTTTAGGGTTTAGGGTTTAGGGTTTAGGGTTTAGGGTTTAGGGTTTGGGGTTTAGCCCCCCCCCCCCCCCTCCCCCAAAAACATCACAAAGCCCCGTAGAAAACCAAGCCCTGCCTCTGGATCACTGTGCGATCTGTCTGCGACCGGAACAAAGGTACTTTCACCTGCTGCATTGGAACCTGGGCGCTTTCGCGACACTTGGGCATGCACTGATAGGGTTCGTTAAAATCCATGTCAGAGAAGCCAAGCGGCAGTGTCAAAACCGCCCCTTTCGAGAGCCCTGACCATGTCTCTCTCCACATTCGATGGCCATTCTCCACTATTACCAGCTCTGAGCAGTTTGGCAGCTTTGCCAGGCAGCTCACAACCAGATCTCTTAAGCTCCTGAGGTTCGAGTACTGTAAGTCCCAAGAGGAGAAAGAAACCCTAACCCCTAAACCCTCAACTCTAAACCCTAAACCGTTTTCCCTAAGCCCTACACACTAAACCCAAAACTAAAAAGCCTAAACCCTAGACCCTAAACCCTAAACCCTAAACCCCCAAACCAGCTCGGTACCCTTGTCCTTCTGGCCGTGCTGTAGCATCTCTCTCGCTGCCAAGAAGCTGAGGTCCTCGATTGGGCAGCTTTCTGCACGATATGGTCACGGTCAAGGACCTTTTGATGGCAAGTGGTAACAATAAGCTCCGGGCTCCCTTGCCAAGACTTTTCAGGATGTGTGTTGAGAGAGGCCCAAGTTCACCTTGACCTGCGGGGGCAGCAAGAATGTTAAGCCTAACTTGCAAGAGTTTTCTGCTTCGGTTAGCGAACTTTCTTTTTGCTCGTCTCTTGTGCTCTCCAGATCAAAATCGCCCAGGTTCAGCCCGGGGCTTTCGAAGGTATCTGAGCCACACTGCTTAAACTAGGATGCACCAGGCCACTCACCAGCCGAGCGACAAGCTTCTTTAATGTCTCTTTACAGAAAGGCT